TTTAACTCCACTGTTGTCAGAATCTGGAATTGTGATAGCTCTTCCCTAGCTGGCTGTGCTAAGCCTTCTGGGTTGCTAACTGCCTCTACCTTCGCAGATTTTTTCAGGTTTGGTGTTCATTTTGGGCTTACAGTGAGTTAAATGTTTTTATTCCAAGCCTTTATGAATTCAGAGGAAACTACTGATTTCCTCACCTTCTTTCAATCAGATTTGGTTTCACTGATGTCATAGAACAATCATCTCCCTATTTCTGTGTAACTCTTTTTTCCACTTATTTTTTTCTTTCAAGCATTAGTTTCCCTGACCACTCGTTTTTGAAGCACTAAGGACACAAAATGTATTTCAGTTTTAAACGGTGCATTACATGGATGCCTCTCCAGGTCTCCTTTTAGGACAAGTAGACATATCAAATGATAATTGCTCAACCCAACTCCAATGAGTGATGAGCAAGCAGCCATCATAAGAGCAGCTGATTTGCCTTTATATCTTATAATTTAACCTTTTCAGGGATATGTTTTCTGGTGCTGAGGCAGAAAGGAATTAAGACATTCAATACTGCCTTTTGTAACTTTTCCTCCTTGCTTTGAATGGCCCACGCTCCTAGACATGACAGCGCTCCCTATGCCTACAGACTTTTTTTTGACACGTAGCCTTACCTCTATTCGTCCAAGAAACCCCCTCTGCTCTGCACACTCTAGGTGGCTATTTTGTCAGTACTTAATTTTATTTCGAAACTATTTTGAAGCCTCTTTCTTTAGACTACCTCTCCCTCCTTCTCTCACCCATCCCCCATCACTCCATTGAAAGTTCTCTATTAAAATGCAGAACTGTAAAACCTCCTCTCTTTCTAAAAGCCTGCTAGCAGCAGGGGACTGATAGCTGTTAGTGATGCATACAGCTGAGTGAGTGCATCACAGCTACACAGTCTAATGGATGAATACATTCAATCACACACAGACCCTCAACTCTTTTAAAAGGGACAGTGTTATCAGTCATTAAAGCTCCAACGACAACACGAACAGCGATGTATTTAAATTCTTGGGAGGAGATAAATGTTTTGTTCTTAAATTTCCAGAGCCTTTATCTTCTTTTTACATTAGTTCTTACAATCTTCTTCAGGCGGTGCAAGTTAATATCTTACAACTTTTAAGTTAACTTTTTACAATTTATGAGGTTCAAGAGGCAAATCTGAGATGCCACGTACTCTCTTTCATGCCAGAATTTGAATCACACTTGATACCCACTTATATTGTCCAAAAAATGATCTTTCAAAATGTATGTACCTGAGCTCATTCATACGACAAGTGTTCAAAAATATTTGATCAAGCACTGCTTGTCTCTATGATCAGATCAGCTGCCAGAATATTCCCATATCCACTATATTTATTTGCTATTTAACTGCAGCACATTTAAATCTACCTGGTAGTAAAGGTTTTTATGTTTACTGACCACAGTCATTTGGACACACCATTTGGTAAAGTTAAGTAGGCTACATGAGCACCCAATTATTGAATTTTTGTTTTCGACTTTTCTACTGCTCTAACAATGAGATCCTCTTTCACTAACAATTTAATAAATCATCATGAACTTTACTGTAAAAGTTGTATTTCTAAACCTGAAATTCATACATCTATGAATAGAAAAGGATAACAAGCTATTAATACTTCCATTTCCTTCTGAATCGTTCTAATTGTTTTCATTGTGACATTATTTCTGATAATTACTGTGACATTTTCATTAATGTTACTTTTCATACATAAAACTGTACGATGTATGCAATGTCAGGGCTTAAATTTCTCGAGACCTGAGTAGGCTGTGTGCAGTTAATAAGTGGGGTATACTTGTAAGGATGTTTTAGTGCAAGTATTTTTCACTGAAATGAAAAAAAACAACCTGTAGGAACCTCAATAAAAACTTATCTTTCTTTCTTTGTATGTTGCTCATTTAGTACACTTTAATAACCATGAACCTCCTCAGTACAAATCACTCAGTTCAGAGAGTTTAGCACTAAACTTCTCATAATATGATGAATACATTTCTATAAAATTGAATTTCCCCTCGCCGGATTAATAAAGTATATCTCCTACTTCTATAAAGTAAAGCAGAGTTAAAGGCTATGTCCCAATTAAGGGGCTGTTGCCTTTGGAGTGTGCATTTTAAGGCAGATTACATCACAGCAGTGTGTCGAAGGCTGTCCCATTTCGAAGGCTCCTTCAAACGTCAAATGCATCCTTCTTTCTCCAGCTTTTGAAGATTGATTGCGTGCCATTTAAAAAAATAATAATTGTAAACTGTTAATCAATAATCAAACTCTGATATTAAAATTAGGAAATACAATTACAGACCAAGCATTAGTTAACAAAAGAAACAAAACACAACAGAATGGAGGCATAACAAATTAAATAGTTACCAAAAAAAAGGGGAATCCTCCATAGACCAGACTGTCTCATACCAGTTTGGTCTGAGTGGTCCTCCCAGGCTACAAAGGCTTGGTGTCTCAAAGTTTGCTACTTCTCTGCGGTGATCATTTTATCCCCTGATACCTTGCAAGCCCTCAGAGGCTGATGTGAAACACAGCAAGTATCAGAAACAAAAGACACAGGGCAGAGGTTGGCTTGCTCAACAGGACATGAGTGTCCTGTGGGACCAGTTGACTGAGTCGACTGGGTAATTTGTTGTGTTTACCTAGCAAGCAGGGCTCCCTCTCCTCAGAAGCCAAGTCATGCCTCTCCTTTTCCTCTCTCCTCTCTTCTTATTACTCATCATCTCAATCCGTCACCGGGCTAGCAGTGCGAAAGCTTCAACATGCTGACAGCGCAGCAGGTCAGGGTTTGTGGCGGGCTGATTTGCAGCTTGAGCCTTCTTTTTAATGAGAGGAAAAGAAGTACATGTAGTTCATTGTCTTGTGTGTCATCATCCCCATCCACCTACCCGCTACCAATAAAACTATCAGTGCTAGCTTCCCTTCAGTGAGAAAAAGGTGCACTAATTAAGATGGCTTCCTGGGATTTGGGAGAGGAGGGGGCGGGGCGATAGGGCTTCTCCCACAGCGCCAGAGAGTTAGGAGGATATGGGGGTGGTGTTGTGCAAGAGGCCTCATATCTGCTTGGCTTATTCGGCTTGCTGAGTCTTTGGCTACACATTTGTTTCTTTTTTCTTCTTGTAATTAAGCAAGCAGGAAAGGAGCGCTTCCTTTTTTCCTTCTGGCTCTCTCGGGGATTGTGGAAAGAGAGACAGAACGGTTTGTGTTTTTCCTGGTGGAAAGGCTCATTTGAAGTTCTCCTGCCTTGATTATATACAGTGAGCATCAATGGAAAGGCGTGGGCCAATAAGGTCTTTCTTGTTCAAGGACAAACCAAGGTAGCTGCATGGGATGGTATATGACGGTGTGATTTAGAATTCTATATCTTTAGTAGTATGAATTCATCCTGCTATTAGTAACTATTCACTGGCTATGGTCCTCTCCGTCCATCTTTTTGTATAGTACTCATAGCTTTACCTGAATTTTACTGAATTTAGGACATTTACCATCCAGGGTCACAATCTCTAGACAAGGCAATGTTTCTTTGTTGAATCAGAGTTTTGCCTGAATGCAAAATCTTCACTCCAACTAGAGCCGTTTTCACATATGCACTCAGGATAATAACTAGATAATTATGGGAGGACTGCTCGGAGATTCTCCCGACCTGGCTGTTAGCATGTTCTCCTTACAGCTGGAGACTATCCCTGTCAGAGGGGAGGGGGGTCGAGACAAGACATGACGTAAAAAAACAACAACGCAGAAGTAGCGGACTAAGCAACAGAGTCCGCTACACAACGCTATAATGACAATTTTTGCCTTTATATCAATGCTATGTATAATCCAATGGAATGACAACAACAAAAGAGCGGAGAACAACATACTAACGAACAGAAAACATAATGCAGCAGTTTAATTATGTGCACAAAGATCGTAGTTGTCGTGTGCAGACACTTTACGCACGTATACAAACGTCACTCTCGCTCTTGTTGTTCTCTGGGAGAATCTGCTGCTGCATTCTCACATCAGCCCACTCAGACATATTGCAGAAAAAATACTAGGGGCCTGGCCGAAGAAACTCCAGGTGAAGTCAGTGTAAAAAAATTCAGCTGTTTGCGTTCACATATACAGCCCCATCGGGTAATCAGTTACAGGACATTTTTAGTCATGTTGTGACAAATCTACTAACTTTCTGTGACTGACAGAACAATTGGTGAGTAAGTTCCCTCTTATGTACCAAATAATTGTCTTTGTTTTGTTTTTCTGAATAAAATTATTTGCAAAAGCCCCTAAATTCCTATGACATGTTATGGAGCGTAGCATTAGTTCAGACAGGCCATGGAGTCACGCTCTGTTATCATGCCAGCATTTTGGTAACAGCTGATCTCACGCAGCCGCATCAGCTGATGGCCAGCTGATTTGCTTCGAAGCATCCTATTGGCCAAATAGTACATATGCTGCCTTATTTAAACTGCTCCCTCTGCAAGCAGCATTGATGCTTGCTCTGTTGGGGTTTGCTGCTTATCACCCTGCCTATAGCTCTCCTTGTATGCACGGGAAAGTCAGGAATGTGTGCTGTTCCTGCCTAATGCTTTCCATGTAAGCGTGTAGGAGGGCAGGGAGATCCCTCACAGAGCCATACCATATTTATACAAAGAAGAAAAGGGGATGAGCCTTTTGGGTCCTCTAGCGGGTTGAAATTCCTCCCGAGCTGCTTCCCCTATTTGGCAAGCACTTGTGAAAACAATTCCCCAGCTTTTAGTCACTCTGAAGATCCAATTGCCATTTCCACTTTGGAGGGAATGAGAGTGAGAGGCAATCCAGATAGACAGAACCCATAGAGCGAAAGAGAGAGGAGTTTTAATCAGGCTGGACAGATGCCGAGACCAGTTGAGCGGTTGTGTGATATTAATATCTTATGAAGGCTGTCTGGCAGTACAAGCTTACCGTCTTGTGTGGTTTTTGTGTTTGTGCTTTGCAGCAACAGCCACAGCATTGGCTAGAAGAAGGACCTGTTAAAATGACATGGGGACGGACTCTCTCTTTCACTTCGGTGACTTCCTCAGATGCTTTGGCCCAAAGAAGGATGGAGAAGAATGGGAAGAGTAAGACACTTACCTCATACCTATTCTCCCAAACTGCTTTGCTTTTCACTGTGTAATTACTAGAATCTACTGTTAGAGTTAAGGTTATCTTAAAGGCTTTATATGTGATTTTTTTCATCCAGCAGATGTCACCCTTGAGCACCAGCATGAAACAAAAACAACTTGCGGTGCATTGTTGTGTTAGCATGCTAATGCTAGCGATCTTTATTATGCTCGTATCTTCACACTGCATGTCAATTTACCCGAAATGAGCATGATCTAGAAACACAGTAAAGCAGTGAGTACAGTATGTTAATCTTCTTTTCTCTAGTCCCTCAATTTAACAACTTTTATACGCGAAGGGAGGGAGTCTGCCTGCCGTCCCGACGATGTAAACAAACTGAAGATAGGACTCTGAAAGCATCACAGACAGTGGGACTCGGGTGTTACACCCACTGTAGACAGTCATTACTCACAGAGTTATTTTCAGAGGATATACTTCTATTCTATTTAAGTGTGAAAAACATATAAAGCCTTTAACAATAGCTATCATTGCAGATCATATTTAGACACAGTACTTCAGACTAAGTGATGAACGTGTCAAAATGTTTAGTTTTCCGTTAAACACAGCTACATTTGGAAAATCAAGTTAAAATCTGTGTGTTTGCCAACTCAACTTTCTGTACGTTCAAGGAGATGAATAGGCATAGTAATCATACCTCCTGCTCTTCTAGACATGAGCCAAGGCTGATGCTCAGAATCCAATCAGTGAGCCAACAGGAGATCCTCCAAACGCCACGTCGCTGAGCCTCTCAACCTTACCCTCTGACCCCTTAACACACAGGCACCATGACCTCAGAGCTAGAGAGCAGCCTGACCTCAATGGACTGGCTCCCACAGCTCAGCATGAGGGCAGCCATCCAGAAGGCAGATGCTGGACTACATTACGGCTACCACCATGGACACCACCTCCACCACCATAGTCATCATCACGGGCAAGGACCTGGCAAAAAGATCACACATCTGGACCCAGGAACAAAACTTGACCAGGAGGAGGCTGCTCAGCATAGAGACGGTAAACCACCCTACAGCTATGCCAGCCTCATCACTTTTGCAATCAATGGCTCGCCCCAAAAACGGATGACCCTCAGTGAGATCTACCAGTGGATCTGCGACAACTTCCCCTACTACAGAGAGGCAGGCAGCGGCTGGAAGGTAAGAGAGAAGACGTATATGTGATTTGGAGTCATATAAGTCACAGTCACTGCAGATGTAAATTAGCCTAACCCCCAATTCACACATACTCCATGCGCGCCGCGGTCCGTCAGTGTCACGGTTTTGCTCCGTCGGATGGCTCGCGTCCATTCACACTGGATCCGTTTCTGGGACGTCAGCACAGAGGAGCGCACCCATGACACATCACAGGAGAACTACAAGATCCCGCGGGAATAAAGAGAAAAACATGTTGCTTTGTCTTTCTGAGGATGATTTGGTGTTCATGCTGTGTGAGAATTAGAAAGAAGTTGTGGACACCCTGTGATTCTAATCCTTCAAAATGACAGACAGCTTTCAGATTTTTCCGTCATTGTTAAAAAAAATCTGTTTAAGACGGAAAATATTCGGTTAAAGCAACCTCTGGGTGTGAGGTGTGTTACGATTAATTTCAACCTCCCCGATCGGCTCGGAAGAAGATCTGGGACGCCCCTAGTTGAAACCGTAAATATGAACACGTGTTCAATATTAACTATCAGAAATCCTGTTGTGTGGGGAGAACACAGAGGACGGCCGAGCATAGACTCTGTGAATTGCCACGTGGAATAGATCAATAGCCAATAAGGAAGCGAGCTGACTGAAGCAGGAAGCACAACAAACATAACCCTGGCGACGACAGCTAACGCAAACCATAAAGATGTATGTCATAAATTCAGGACCAACTTCTTGATTTGTGGCAACAACACAAGTGTATATAACTGTCCTGTCAAAAAAACAAAACACAATACAACTGACAAGGAAAGGAGTTGGACCAAAATGTTTACTGTAATGGATTTACCAGCTAACAGCTAGCCACATTTAGCTTGACCATAATGTTTGTTTAATCTTGAGTCACATTAGAAAGTGTATGATTACACATTTTGATAGTCGAGACTCTGGTTGTTGGTGAATCATCAACACACCATTCCCTGAGCAGGGATGCATGAAAAATGTCAAAAAGGTTATGATGCTATAACCCTAACCCTCTGTCTCTCACTGCTCTGTGAAAGCTTGTTGCGTTTGAAAAGCGTTTTAATCATGTTAATCATGATATCCGTTAATTATCTATATTGATCTATAATATTTATTAACTGATACTTCTCACATCAGGTCAGGCTTTTTAATAACGCGCTCATGCACTGAGGTTCCATCATTTAAAGGTTCCCTCTGCAACCAAATAATATTACAGTGTTAACATAACATTAACGTGTTAATGTTAACGTGATGAACGCACAGATCTGGAGGGTGCTGCCTTTAACCCCGAAAGTGCCCTTATATGATGCTAATAAGTGTTAGGCCACGCAGGCTTAGAACAGTCAAACAATGGACTTGGGCCTGTACCTCTGTCAGAAGCCTCATTTGAGTGATTCACTGAGATCACAAAGAGACCTAAAAGGACTCTTTATCCCAGAATCCCCTGCGGTACTTCACACCTACGTGTGAGGTAAAGGGGGGACCGGAACCTGAGGGAGACCCCACAGGAAGGCAGCCAGGTGATAAAACTCTGAGACTTCCATTGCTCTCTCTCTTTCCACGCGCTGACTTCAAGTGTTCGGAGACATAAGGTCACCTCCTGTTTCCTGCAACAGTCTTCCTTTGTTTTAAGTTTTGGCGTGCAGGTAATCCGCGGCCGGCAGTGTTCTGAATTCCGAGCTCGGATTGTCCAGTGAACGCATCTCAGTTTCTCAGAGAGCGTCAGACTATAACAGATTATCAGAAAGATAACGGTCTTATTCCGTCCTGCAACGAAAAGGTCATCAACGGACATCTTTCCACTCGACGGAAAACCAACGAAGCCGCTCTTGCCGTAAGGGACCCTCGCTGCCATCAGACGCCTCGGCACCAGGACGGACAGAAGATCTGTTTTATCGCCGGACTCTTTGCCTTTCACCAATCGCGGGCAAAGCGATTCACAAGTGAGGCTTAATTAGGTCTGGGCAGAATTAGCTTTAGAGAGTGTTTTTAACAATTGTTTGCTCGAAGCAGAAACTGTAATTTTTCTCTTTGTTGGACCGCTGCGTCCTGAGAGTTACCTGTTTAAAACTCTTGTTCCCGTTTCGGACCGCTGCGTCCCATATGTGTTTAGCGTAACAGCGTTATAACTGGGTATTACTCTTCTGATCAGAAAGGCCAGTGTAAGCCGTATTAACTTGAATTCGGCCATTGGTTTGCTTCTGTGAATGAAGGGAATTACTCCAAGTTGTGGTGCGGGATTCGGACTGTGATCCGGCCTCTTCAGGCACGCATTTCTCTCCTCCTCTGCTCTCCTCTTTTATCCTCTTTTCTCCCCCTTTTACTAACAGACACACACACATATTCCCGTGTAAACGTACATCTGGAGACTAACTCCACCACCGCGCCATTACGCACATAGGCTACACACACACACAGATCTATACACTCGCGGCCGTCCAGACGCCTCAGAGACACAGATCGTGTAGGGCCGAACTCGGTCTCTTCTAGAGATTAAGGCCACATTAGGTCTTTGTTAGGTGTGCGCCATCGGGAGGGCGACCACGTGGGACGAAGCAATCTCCCCCCCTCCTCTCTCTCTTTCATCCACAGACACACACACGCACGCACCCAGGTCTTTGTTAGGTGTGCACCATCGTGAGCGACCACGTGGGTACGAAGCCATCTCCCCCCTCTCTCTCTCTCTCACTCACACACACACACACACACACACACACACACACACACACACACACACACACACACACACACACACACACACACACACTTGCTTTGTTTAAATAAATTCTGCTAGAATTTAAGAGAGCAGTTGTTTGTGATTACTGGTTGTATTTGCATTGTGATATAAGCTGGGTGCGAAGGCTTTGTGTATGGACTTCACGCCTTCAATTTATTAAATATAGTTATTAATTATTAATAATATTAGTAATTAAATAACTAATTTGAGACTGATTTGAGTGATATTTTGGTTATATTTACCTGAGTACAGGTTGGTGCCCCAAAACGAGATTAAACATAGTTTAATGATATTTTATTTATATTATTAGTAATTAAATATTATTATTAAAGAATATAACCAAAGTTGACTTGATAAAACCCCAACATAAGCAAACTGTCAGATTGTCAAAATCATTGCTCTGCTTCGCTCACATTCACCGCTCCCTCTCTCTCAGTCGCTCTACCTGACCCTGATAAAAGCAGAAGGTGAGATAACAGAGCGCGCAAATACAGAAGGTGCTCTAACTATGCGAGTTGTCAAATGTAATGTGGTAAAATATACCAAATCTAAATGAGTAAATGCTCATTTAGACCTATTAGTAATGTGAATGGGCTACAGGCTACATAAACTTAATTGAAAGGTTCAAATATATTTTTCGGCTCAGATGGACATCCCTGATCTAACTTATAATGTCTGGACTATAATATAAACAACCTTCTTTACATTCAGGTTTTAAAGAAGTATAGTCAGTCAGACCATAAGGTCGCAATAATAATGCATGTTGTGGCTTACAGCACCCAGACTGGAGGAAGCCACATGGACCCCCAGCCTTAAATGAACCTGCATCTGTGTAGGATAATGTCGGATGCACAAACGGGCTCCCTCCTTGCCATTTATGAGAGTAAAAGATAGTGATGTGTCGTTCGCGAACGATTCAGTCAAAAAGACTGAATCTTATGGGGGAATGAACTGAACCGAATCCATTACTTAAAAAGAGTCGTTCATTTCTCAACTTCAGTTGGGCTCTCCTCTCTCCCGTCTTGTGTGTCTCTCTCTCTAAACCGCAAGTGGCATGCCAAGTAGATTGAGTCACTGAAGCCCGCCAACTATTGTATTTAATAATTTGCTGTTGTGAAAATATAACTGACTGTTACAGCAGCTTTCAGTCTGCAAATTGTAGCTTTATCCAACTAAATTCTCAGCTCATTGGCTTATTATTCACAAATGGCCGTTCTCAGTACGATTGCGAGCAGAACTAAACGTTGGGCCGTGTTTCAACTCATTGAGTTCTGGTTCGCAGTCAGAGCGCTGTCTTTTTACTGATCTGATTCTAATGATTCAATACAATGAAAAGAACTGCTTTTCCCATCACTAGTAAAATAAATTGTCACGGTCGAGTTTAAAAACAAAGGTGGACCCAATTGCAGATACGAAGAAAACTATTTATTTTAACAAAAAGGCAAACAAAATTTACGACATAGAAATCCAAAATGTCCGACTAAAAAATTCCACAAAGATCAAAACACAAAGGGAGCACAGCAAATCACAAGGACAACTGACAAGAGGCAACTGACATTCATAAACTAACACTCTGACGTACGACAAAAAACAATGATCTGACACAGAAGGGAAGAAAAACAGAGACTAAATAGACACGGGTAATCAGACACAGGTGAGACTAATGACACAGATGAAGACAATGAGGGCAATCAGACACAGAGGCAGGAATAAACACAAGACAAGAAACACTGAGGACAACTACAAAATAAATCATGAAACGTTGAAGACACAGAAACTCAAGAATGTAACCTCAAGACACACTACAACATAGAGAAACACTAGGATAACATAGGAAAGATAGATAACACACATGGGAAACAAGCAACACCAGGGAAGAATGAGAACTAAAACAAATATGAAATCTAAACTCTGAAATACAAACCTAAAACAGACCAAATCATGACAGAAATTCATAAAAACCTGAAACTTCTTGTATCAAATGATTGTGTTAGGGTTTGACTAAACGCTGTGTATTGTATATTTCTCATCTGAATAGCCTAATTGCAAAACCTAAGAATTTAACTCTTACACATAAGGTCCTGTCTCCGTCTTACAGCCCCCAATTGTTATTATGCCACATGTAGCCTTTTTCTCAGTGAGTCTTATAATTATTGATTATTTAAATCCCCTGGCGTGCCAATTAGTTATGACCTGTTAGTATTCTGTATTCTCAAAGGGTCAACTCTCACGCACGCACGCACGCACGCACGCA